AATGTTCTTCTAAAAAACACCTATTAAAAATGTAGTTTATAAATATATATATATATGTAGGTGTGTTGTGCAGGATGAATCCGCTATCCATGTTTATCCGAGACATGCCCTTTATTTTTAGGGTCAAGCCATTTCTACTGTACTCTGCCACCCATGACCGCGAGAGCATAGATTCGTTTTGTTGACAGCGCGGAAAAATGGCGGAAGACAAACTGACAGAAGACGAATCGAACGACTGTAGATTATCAGCGATATATTTGACAATGACTTTTAGGGATTCGGACCTGAAGATTTACTACGTGACGCAGAAATCGTACAAGATATTGACTTTGATCAATCATATAAAGACGTGGACATTCCTGAAGACGACGACAACACAGCGTACCTCCATAAATGCCCCATTAACGGGACGGCCCGGTTTGAACAAAGATATTCCAGGTGACGGCGACCTTATTCATTTTTCTCTCTCTTCTTTTTAACGTCAATATACGGACGACTCTTACGACAGAATACTAAGTACTTTTGATTATGAAACTTGGAATTGTTTTTCAGGTGATGGTAATAAATAATCTGTTTATTAGATGTAAATCATCTTTCTAACATACAAAATACACACAAAACTCAGCTTTTCTAACCTGTAGTTCGGGAAAGGTAAGCAAGATATCCGAAATTACTTTTGATAAGAAAAGAAGAAGTCTTCCTGAACAAAACACTTTATATATATTTTCNCACATGAGTGAATGGCGGGATAAGGGTTAGAATTGTTGTAATGCTTTTCTCAATGAAGTTGTCGGGGATATAGAAATGGTGTCTGTCTTTCTGTCAGTCTGTTCCTGCGTATTATGAAAGCGCATCGTTCCATATTTTGACACGATCACTGGCCTTCTACCACTTGGTCACGGGGTTCGAGACTTATGTTTGGCAGTTGCCGGGTACTGGCCCAAGGTCAGTGTTTTTCTCGGGTACTCCAGCTTTCCTCCAGCAACAAAACCAGGTTCGTTCTTATATGACCATAGCTGTTATTAGAACGTAAAGCACAAACAAACCAAAACACACTGATTAACTTAGTTCTACGTCGATAATACTTGTATCTATGATGCTGCTTGGGTTGCTGTACTGAACATGTGTTGCAGATGCTGAGTTTGACTTTCATTTGATGCTCCAGTGTTTTCCTTATAATATTTTTTCTCACATTCATGTACCACATCACAAAATGTTGCCGAGTCCATTTCTGGATATCTATATAAGTGCTACCCATACCGAAATAAGTTACAAATAGGTATAACTTTTTCGTACCTATATATATACATATACGGGTAGTACTTACATTAATGATGCAGCAATAGTCAATCACTTATTTGTTGCAGGGCCGCTACACGAGTGAACATTCCCTACTGACCAGAGGCAAGTCAAACGACAGACACGTAAGTATGCTTGTGATATAGAAATAATTTCAGACTGTATATTGTGAAAAAGTCCATATCTTGGTAAGATCATTAGCCCTCCACCACTTGGCTGCTGCGTCTATAGTGATCGTATCAAGATATGGACATCTGATATACATAAATTTAGAATAGAATATGAATATGATTTTCCTTCTGTTAAAGAAAACAAATTCTGATTGTTATAATCTTTTATTTACTTACGAAGTGTTGGAAACTATTTTTTTCTGACATGACTCTAGCTTTGATAAATCGTTTCAAAAAAGCAAAACCATAGCTTGCCGGACTTTTATGACATATACTGTTGGCTAGACCGGGATTAGAACCCTGGACTTCAAATTGATAAACTACTGCACTGACCGATAAAGCTACCTGGTCAACAGAGGTGTCTTGGCCAAACTGTGCCACAGTTATATCCTAAAGTGAGTTAAGGACAGTGCAGTGGGACTGGGATCCTTAAGGAAGTTAAGGGGAGGTCACTGTATATAGGAAAAAGCACAGTGCAGTGGGACCTAGGGATCCTTAAGGAAGTTAAGGGGAGGTCACTGTATATAGGGAAAAGCACAGTGCAGTGGGACCTAGGGATACTTAAGGAAGATAAGGTGAGGTCACTGTATATAGGAAAAAGCAAAGTGCAGCGGGACCTAGGGATCCTTAAGGAAGTTAAGGGGAGGTCACTGTATATAGGGAAAAGCACAGTGCAGTGGGAACTAGGGATCCTTAAGGAAGCTAAGGGGAGGTCACTGTATATAGGAAAAAGCACAGTGCAGTGTGACAGAGATCCTTAAGGAAGATAAGGGGAGGTCACTGTATATAGACAAAAGCACAGTGCAGTGGGACCTAGGGATCCTTAGGGAAGTTAAGGGGAGGTCACTGTATATAGGGAAAAGCACAGTGCAGTGGGACAGAGATCCTTAAGGAAGTTAAGGGGAGGTTACTGCATATAGGAAAAACCACAGTGCTACGGGACAGGGATCCTTAAGGAAGTTAAGGGGAGGTCACTGTATATAGGAAAAAGCACAGTGCAGTGGGACAGAGATCCTTCAGGAAGTTAAGGGGAGGTCACTGCATATAGGAAAAACCAAAGTGCAGTGGGACAGGGATCCTTAAGGAAGTTAAGGGGAGGTCACTGTATATAGACAAAAGCACAGTGCAGTGGGACAGGGATCCTTCAGGAAGTTAAGGGGAGGTCACTGCACATGTATAGAAAAACACACAGTGCAGTGGGACAGGGATCTTTAAAAGGAGGAATCACATTGATGCAGATTACCATTGATGATATTAGAATTGCATTACTGTCTTTAGTATGCAGGTTGTACTTTTTACCGAGGTGCCAGTAAAGACAGGTTTTATTGTAGGGGTTTTCCTTTACCAACGTCTTTTAGGACAGGTTGTCTTCTTAATCCAAATACACTAATGAAAAATGCTAGCAGGTGTCCCTATATGAAGCAAAGATAATACAATGAGGTACATAATAGCTGTGTATTTATGCCCACCCGCACCCCCACTAAATTTTGGAGGATGATACAGTGTTACCCCATCGTTCCCTGTCGTATCCCGGCGTATCCCGCCCCTATCGCATCCCGTCCCTGTCGTATCCTGTCCCTGTCGTATCAGTCTTTTGGCATCTAGTCATGATTCATTTCCACTGCCCTACTAAATTAATTTCTATACAGATCATCACAATTTATACAAAGGGCAAGTATAAATGAGAATACCTTAGATGGGTTCCAATTTCCAACAGATTCATTGTCATCAATTGACCAACTGAAGTTGAGGGGAGGCCTTGATGTCTTACAGATATTTTCTAGTGTGTGGATGTACTGCTATTAATTAGTCTAGTTTTAGGCTTCGTGAATCAGTTTCTAGGATATATCAGTACAATGGACATTTTTCAGCTGCTGTACGAGGTGTGGGCCAGGCCAGGAGCATGGTAAAAATCCCAGCCACTAGACGAAATCAGGTAAACACTACAAATATTAGTCAAAGTTAAGTTATTTTTAGAAATGTTAACTGCTTGTTATTAGAGTATTTTTTCGTATAGGACTGTACAGT